AAAGAGTCTTTCAATGTGTGTCTTTGATAATTGTCTTAGTTGTTATCACGGTGGCAGTAATGCCTTAGAGTTTCCTATTTCGTATTTTAAAATGGCAAAACAGTGACTTTAAAGGAAATGAATTTCTAGGGTGCTATAGTGGTCAACCACCACCACTTCACCAAAGTAAGCCACCGCCACCAGTACAAGGTTGGCGGCGGAGATTGATCAGATGAAGGCCGAGTAGCTTCCGGTACTTCCTGTTCGGGAGTCGGTCCCACAGGTGGCCGATCATCGGTCCCATTTCGCGAGATGCCATCAAAAATATGGGGGGGCAATTGGTCATCCTTCCCCCTTCTCCTTGTGCGTGCGTGTGTTGTTTATATATAAAAAATAAAGTCTTCCTTAATTTATTCCTTGATTATGTTAATGATTTTGAGATGTCTATTGAATCTTTGATGAATTAAGGATGGATTATTAAAAGAAATTTTCAAATTTTAATTTTGAGTAAAAAAAAAAACCCCAAATTTTGAAACTCTAACTTTTAAAATTGATGGGTATTGATTTGAAATTGATGTTGTTGGGTTATATTGTTGAAATTGATTATTTAATATAAAATTACAGCAAGTTTTATGTATTTAATAAAGCTGAAAATTTATTGCAAAGTCTACTTTAATGTTTTAATGAAGGAATTTTGACTACCCATTAAGTGACAGTATAACCAAAGGCTTTAAATTAATTTATAGAATATTTTAAAGGTTCTAAATATATTTTTAAGTAAATTTATATTGCTTGAAATTGTTGTTAGGTAGTGTTTTATAAACTTTAGTGATTGTTGGTTGTAGGTAGGAGAGTTCGAAGTGAGCAATTACTTGCAGTAGTGGCGATCTTGCGTTCATATTCAAGGTACGTACGCGTACAAGGAATTAATTAAGCGTGTAACAACATACTAGGGTTTATTTAAGTTGATATCAAGTTAGTATCATGCTAGAAATTGGTTTGAGATTGGTGAATTGGATTGGAATTCTGATAGGGATGGCAATTCAATCCTTCTTTGATTTGTATTCGACCCAATCCGAAGAAAAAAGTCCGATCCGACTCCATTTAAAAAGAGTCTGAAACTCGATAAAATAGATCTGAATCCGAATAGATGGGAATCGGACTTGGACCTTGCGCAATGTCCCACTAGAGTCCGACCCGAATCAATTTGATATAATAAATAAAGTTTATTAGGGACAATATAAGCAATTATAGGTATATCACAAATTACAAAAAAAAAAAAAAAAAAAAAAGAAGTATTCGGATCATTCGAAGGTCTGAATAAACAGATCGGATTCAGACCCTAAAATTATGAGTCGGATCGGCCTCGAACTTGGACTTTTTGGACTCAGGTTTGGATTCGGATCCGAGTCCAGAGTCCGTTTAGCAAACATATCGGATTCAGACTATTTGTGAATTGAAGTATGATTGGTTGAATGGATTATTTATTGGAATTGGTGATGAATGAATATTTTATTGAACCATGATTTTATTATTGGCATGATTATGAGCATGTTTAATTAAACTAAGTGTTTAGTTGTGTTTGAAATATTTAAAAGGAATTTTATTATGGTTCATACAATTTCATTGGTGCTTTAATGCACAGGGAATTGAGCTATATTGAATAGGGTGTTTTTGCACATATATTGAGCTGTTTTATTTAAGTGTCTTTGACACGAGGGTAGGACTTTTGGATGCTTAATGCACATGAGGTGTTTTTTACTTTGAGGTAGTTTTAAATTGTTCGCATTAAATTTAATGTGGTCACTAATTATTCAAGAATTAATTTGGAATGGTTGATTGCTTGAATGATTCATGTTGATTGATTGTTTTGTTGAATGAGAGTCATCACCAAATCTAAAAGGTAAATAAAGTATATACCTTGAGCATGAACATATGGGGGAGGGGGGGGGAGTTATGGGGTTTTATATTTAACCATGACTTCTACTCATAGGGGTATAAGATGTTGTACTTTCCTTTTTATTATGCAAAGGGACGTCCGCCACTTATGTGTGGCCAGGTTGATACTAGCAAGATAAGCTCTCATTGCTAGTTCCCTTTCAGGGCGAGTGGGGAAACCCGTTCAATGCGTAATCAAAATAACTAAATAAAGTGTATTTATGAAAATGTGTCTATGATTAGTTGTGTGTTGAACTTAGAGCTAAAGGTAAGTTGAATGATGCTAGCTTGACGCATATTAGTGCATTTCCTTTTATGCTTACGTGTTCAGCATTGCTAATTTCGCACTTTGTGTGCTTGGCCTTTCCTTCATCTTGGCCGTACGACAACCAATTCATGGTGAGTTGTAGGGACGTTTTAAAGAGAAGTTTTTCAGGTGATGCGGCATATTCATGTTGAGGATTGAGCGAAAAGCAAATCTTGTTCTAATTTCTATTTGAATACGTGTTTATTATATTTCATGTTGGATTATTATTGCTTGAGGAATAATGCGTTGGTTTTTTATACTTATTTGGTTTTGAAAAGGTCCTAGAATGGTTCCAAGTTGTAGGTTTGACTTTTTTTAATTTGGTTTGACTTTACTTTTGTTTTGTTTAACTACTGAACTTAGTTGGGATTTGACTTTGTTTTGAAAGGTTTTGAAAAATCTTCCACTGTGTGTCTTTTATAAATGTCTTAGCCGTTATCATAGTGGCAATAATATCTTAGTTATTTCCTATTTCGTATTTTTAAAATGGCAAAGCAGGTATTTCAAAAGGAGGAACTTTCTAGGGTGTTACATTATATCTCGGATTGGTGCAACAAGTCTTGTATGGACCCGGTCTACAATAAATTATTGTAGACCCAAAATTTAACACTCTCAAATAATATAGTCACATTCTAGATGATATAATCACTTTTGTCATGATATAATTATTTTGTTGTGAGTCACATTTTAAATGATATAATCGTATTTTAAACAATTTAATGAGATGATATAATTATCTTTTGGATGATATAATTATTTTTCAAATGAGTTAATTACTGTTTGATACTTTTTTTAATGATGAATTCACTTTTAGAATGATAAATTTATATAATCAGTTTTTGGATGATATAATCACATTTCGTATGATATACTAGAGGTTAGTGCATAATAAGTTATTGTGCACCGCGTCTACTCTAGACTTTACCGGCTGATCTTGCTGAGGCTGCTGCCATTTGTCTCAATCTATAGATTCTTCATCAGATCATTTTTATTACAGAAAAGTATGGATAGGGACTAGAGAGTAATGTTTTGAGTGTTGTGATAAACATTAATCATGCATCAGTTGGTTATGCTCCTATTTTTCTCCTTCATAATAACATTAGGTCTTTATCAATGTCTTTTTCTTCTTATAGATTTTCTCATGTCAAAAGAGCTAGAAATTCCGTGCTCATCTTGTTGCAAGATTGGATACAAATGGTAGCTCCGAACACATGTATGAACGTTTTCCCCGTCTTCTTACTTTGATGGAATGTGACTTGCAATAATATTTCTAGCTTATGTTTTGACTCAAAAAATAATTCACCATATGTATTTAATGTTTACTTCAAATCCCCTAACTTAATATAAAGTACTACGTACTATATATGGGTGCATTTCAATTGTCACTAACTCCTTCCTCTTCTTTTAAACTAAACTCTTCATTTTTCTCAGGAAAAAAACATTTGATGAAGTAAAATAAAATAAACAAAAATATATAATTGTTTCCCAATTTTTCTAATAATATTAATAGCTTGTGCATCGCACAAGCCAAAATACTAGTTATTTCATGATGCACATAAAATATTGCCTCGTTAAAAACCTTATTAGAAAAAATCTAGTGGGATAAAATCACAGTTAAGAATAAAAAAAAAAAAGTGCAGCATGATTTAATTTCCCCCCATGATTACTACACTTAAGATCTTTGAGACGATGCAATCTATGAACTTTTTTAATGTACCTATTGAAAGAACCTTCGTAAACAAGCCTGCCAAAATTTCACTTGAGCAAACTTATAAAACCTTTATATTGTCATTCTTCGGCCAATTGACCAGATTGGTAAATAAAAAAAACCTCTACCGACAATTTGATAAAAAAAAATAAATAAATAAAAAAATAAAAAGCTAACCATATGCGACAGTTTGGTAAAAACAATAAACTCAGGCGACATTTTAGACCAAAATTTCTATTTTTTTCGACAGACACTTTAAAAGCCCTAATATATTTTGTTTTAGTGTTTTTAAAATTTATTTCTCCCATAAAATTTTGCTAAATTTCGATACCAAATTTATTTCCAACCCCTTTTTTAAAAAAAAAAGTTACTAATAAGGGGTAGGAAAATTAAGAGAAAATTAATATTTAAACATTCTTTTTTTTCGTCAAATTGTAATTTCTTTATAAAAAAAAAAGAGGATGTGTCATAATTGTCATGTATGTTGATGATTTGAATATCATTGTTACCCAGATAGTTACTGTAGAATACTTGAAGAAAGAATTATAAAAAAATGAAAGGTATTGGAAAGACAAATTTTGCTATTAAACATCTCCAAAATGGAATACTTGTGCATCAAACAACATACATGGAAAGAGGGGGGGGGATTCTGATACATATCCGTGTTGCATGAGCATCATAAACTTAAAATTTCAATGGTTTATTTTGTGTATCACTAAAAACATACATAGTACATAAGGTTGATGATGATGACGTTAGATATGCCATATGATGGATAACGTGACGGTATGATGAATCATATGAATCATGGACTTCATGGAAAATATTACAAGTAGTTGGGATTAGCCACTTTATCCTATATGAATTCTTGACGGCATTTTTGCCTTTGGATTTCCGACTTAATATTGAATGTTCCAAAAAAAGAATGTCAATCTACCAAGTTCGCACTGTAATTACTAATCTAATATTGAAACTTTGGGAGGATAAGGGCTCAGTTATTTGGCTCTTTTATCTGCATCGAATCATATTGTTCATGAAAACAAATTCAAGCAAAGCAATAAAAATACATTTGTCGGAAGAAAAAGGCATTTCTTTAAATTTCATAGTAGAAGTACACTGAGTAGTCCTCAATCCTCATTGAAAACAACCGAAGGACCGAACTCTCAAAGGATGAAGAAAGAAAATTTTTAATAACAAAACTAAACATTCCAAAAACAGGCAACAATCTAAACAAGGCTTCCTCAAAGGAGCCATATACTAAACTCACAAACTAATCTAATTTGATTATTGGGAAATTGAAAGCCAATATTATCATGTAAGAATCCACCAAAGCTTTTTTGTATGTTCTCATCACTTTCAGGAAACCCTTTACTTGGCGCTGGCAAGTTCTTGGCGCAATTGCTTGGCAGCAGCAACCATGTTGGAAAGAGCTGGGTTAACCTCACCGTACTTACGGGTCTTGAGACCACAGTCAGGGTTCACCCACAAGACGTTGGACTCCAAAACCGCAAGCATTTTCCTGATGCGGTCAGCAATTTCCTCAGTTGGTGGGATTCTTGGAGAGTGGATGTCGTAGACACCGGGACCAATTCCAGCACCGTACTTAACACCTTCACGGAAGACTGAGAGGAGCTTCTCATCAGAGCGAGAGTTCTCAATGGTGATGACATCAGCATCCATGTCGATGATGGAGTGAATGATGTCATTGAAGTTGGAGTAGCACATGTGGGTGTGGATCTGCAAAAGTAAGCCAATAATAGAGATGAGCATTGAAATTCATTTTTATAGCTTAAGAACCTCCTGGTACAAAATTCAGCAACACGAGTCACAATGTAGCAAAAGTTACCTGAGTGGTGTCTTGGACTCCAACATTGGTGATACGGAAGGAGTGGACAGCCCACTTCAAGTAGAACCCATGCTCAGACTTCCTGAGTGGCAAACCTTCTCTCAAAGCAGCCTCGTCAATTTGGATAACATTGATACCAGCCTTCTCAAGATCCTCCACCTCATCCTTGATGGCCAAAGCAATCTGGTAGCAAGTCTCGTGCCTGAATACACAATGACACAAATAAATATATGAGAAATTGAGCCACAATCCAAACCATTGATTTGGAGCAGGGTTTTATCAGATTCCCAGTTTCTGAGGAAAGAGACCATACCTAGGTTGGTCATTACGGACGAAGGACCAGTTGAGGATGGTCACAGGCCCTGTAAGCATACCCTTCATCGGACGGGAAGTCATGCTCTGAGCAGTGGATGACCAGAAAACAGTCATTGGCTTGGGGCGGCTGACATCACCATAGATAATTGGTGGCTTCACACATCGAGATCCATATGATTGTACCCATCCATTCACAGTGAAGGCAAAACCAGACAATTGCTCTCCAAAGTACTCAACCATATCGTTCCTCTACAAAACCAAAAATGCATGTGCAGTCAAGAAGATGAAGACCTAGCATACAAATCTTTCTATAGGTTAACAATTATGCAAATAACTCACCTCAGGCTCTCCGTGAACAAGGACATCAATGTCAAGTTCTTCTTGGAGCTTGACAACCTTGCTGATCTCCTCCTTGATAGCCTTGACATACTCTTCCTCGGAAATCCTACAAAAAGTAATCAAACAGCACCAGTATTAGACATGATTAAATGAATGAATAAGAAGTTAGTTGAAGTTTGCTTCAAATTGCCTCAGATGACTCACTTGTTGGCCTTGAACTCACGACGCACCCTCCTAAGCTCCACGGTCTGTGGGAAAGATCCAATGGTGGTGGTGGGGAGAACAGGGAGGTTAAGCTTCTTCTGCTGAGCATCAAGTCTAGAGCTAACATTTGTAGCACGGCGATGGTCTGATCCCTTCAATCCAGCAGCCTAATTTGCATCAAACAGAACACATCAATTATTTGAAAATTATCCACAAACAACTTAAGTATAAAACACCAGCAATATGACAGATGCTGGAGAACTGCTTACAAGCTTTTGAACATTTTCATTGTTCACTCTTGGGGAGGACTTCCTTGATGCAAGAGCAGCAGCATTGGCAGAGAAGAAGGCCTGGAAAAAAGTAACAAAAATTTTAGGGATCATATATGATATTCACAACCAAAGAAATTGTCGCAAAACTATATCAAAAATTAGTTTTAATTAATTAAAAAAAATAAATAAATAAATAAAAAAAAACCTTATTCTGGCAAGCAAAAATGTAGTAGCATAGAGGTTTACCTCATCCTTCTGACCAGACAATGCCTTGGCCAAAGCGTTAACTTCAACAACTTTCTGTGCAGCAAATGCAAGCCATGACTTGATTTCATCATCAAGCTTAGTCTCGTTAACAAGATCAACAGCAGTGTGAAGAAGTGAGCAGGAAGTGGAGACCACAAGCTTGTCTGCAAGCAAAGAACAACTAAGTTAGCCAAACGTCTTTAATAGGCAACATAAATTTTTTTGTTTTGAGATACAAGTTAAGTCACCAACCCTTTCCAACAATGCTCTCAAGGCCCTGCAACAAAGCAAGGGAAGCGGCAAGATCGTTGGCCCAAATGTTCCTTCCATCGACCACTCCAGCAAATAGGTACTTGCCTGATGGGAATCCAGCCTTAATCAAATCCAAGGTGTTGGTTCCACGAACCAAATCAAACCCAAATCCGGTGACACCCTTCAAAGAAACAAGGGTCTTGTATGCCTCAGGGGTAAGATCAGCAAAGTAAGTCTCAACAACAACATTCAGGCCAGACAAAGTAGATTCTAGTTCAGCGTAAGCCTCAGTGAAGGCTTGCAATTGGTGAGATTCAAGATCCTTCACCAATACAGGCTCATCAAATTGAATCCAAGAAGCACCAGCTGCCTTTAGTTCAGAAATAACTTCCCTGTAAACAGAACATATATATCAGAAACTAGATATCAAGTAATACAAAAACAAAACTAAATAGAATTATAGAAGATGTTGATACTCACTTGTAGACTGCTAGGATCTTGGGAAGAAGAGAAAGCAGAGGGAATGATTTCTCAACACCCTTAGCAGGCTTGGACAACAACAGGTAGGAGACTGGTCCAACAAGAATTGGGACAGTGTCTACTCCAAGCTGTAGGACAAACGATAAGATAAGTTACTTCAATAGTCACCAAGTGTATTTAAAAAAAAAATAAAAAAAAATAATAATAATAATTGGACTGAACTTTATAGAGACTACTTAAGAACAGAAGAAGCTCAGCAATATATAGCCCCGGACAATAAGAAAGGCCCCCAAATAAAAACTAACAGCATGACAATCAAGAACCTCCCGGGGACAAGGGTTCAGTTATTGATAGACCAGAAAATAACAATAATCTAACATAAACAAGTGACAAGAAATCCTCGAGGGAAACCTTAAACCTATAGCATTATAAACCTAGTTGTGAAAATTTAGTTTGATATCAAGGCCTTCATAACTAAAACCAAATTTCAGATGATTTCACTCTTTGTTTAAGTTCTTCACAGGTAATACTAGAGCATGTTCTATTAACATTCTTCGATGACAAGCATATCCATCCTCTTGAATTCAACAAAGATTTTTCAATACCAGATAAGTAGCAATCAATAAACTTAATCTGGTTATCAACCAACAACGCTTGCATAATGTGCATTTTCCAGTTCACCCTTGCTTAATATAGTACTAATAAAAATAAAATATAAGTGAATGAGAACATACAGCCTTGGCCTCCTTGTATTCTTCAACAGCCTTGTGGGAAGAGTAAGAGAAGTTTACTTCTGGGCCCAACTCGGGGACAATGTAATGGCTGCAGCAAGCAACATCACACATATGAGCTCAAAGAAGATTTTCAAAACAGAATACGATAAAACTTGATTATTTAAATTAAGCAAAGAAGCCCATCATCACTTACTAGTTGGTGTCGAACCACTTGGTCATCTCCATAGCAGGGACAGAGGCATTACCTCTGGCCATGGAGAAGTAAACATCGAATCCAATCTCACCACCGCTCCACCCATACCTTGGGGGAACAGCACCGAGCATGGCGGTGGTGTCAAGGACCTGGTCGTAGTAAGCAAAGGTGTTGCTGGGAATGTACTTAATACCAACATCAGACATCTGCTTCCAGATGGATGCCCTAAGATCAGCAGACACCTTTTTCAAATCCTCAGCGCTGCTCTTGCCATCCCAGAAAGACTCAAGAGCGAACTTGAGCTCTCTCTTGGGTCCCATACGGGGGTATCCAACGATGTGAGATGCCATGCTGCAAGTAAATAAAAACAATACAAACAGTATTTAGCGCCATTTTCCACAACTGTCAATCATATGGTAATCTAACTACGATTCGTGTATACTTCGTAAATTAATATCATAAAACAGGTCATCAAATTACGACTCAAAAAAAACCATATTACTCTAATGACTCATCCAAATCCTACGATAAATGATCGGCTAAATAATTCATGTACTCGTATACATTTCGAGATTTTCGACTTCAAGTCGTTTTCAGACAATTACTACACTAGCATAAATGATCACCTAAATAATTAAAGTAACTTAAATTTTAAATCATTTTTACTTCAATTCGATTTTCAACTATCTCATTTTCCTCAGATTCATACATTAAAAAGTCTTACAAGTCAGAAAAAGTAATGAAAGAATGTTACAAATGCATTTTTTCAGAAACTCTTATTAAATGTTCATATCTGACAACTTTTTACAGAATAAACGGATCAAATGTGCACTATAGTATCAACTATAACCTCAACTTTCCAGCCGAAAAAGGTCATAAGTTCGAACCTTACGACAACAGATTATGATTGATCTACCTACCTTAACTAATTTTTTAATCATTATAACATACTCTTAACAATCAGATTTGAATATTCGAATTAATCAAACAAAATTCAGATATAACTCTCAACACAAAAATTTCATGTAAACCAAATACCTAATTAAATTAGCTAAATTCAACACAAAAATTAATCATCTTAAGCAATAATGAATTAAGCTGGATCATCAAAGTATAATCACAATGCACAATGACAACAGATCTATATTTCAATCAAAATCAACTAGATCTAGTTTCCTATGATCCGACATTAATTAATCAATAATTTTTCATCATCAGATCTACATTTTATAATTAAAAAAATTCAGATCCCAAAGAATAAAGATAAATCTGAGCTAACCGACACATCAAAAAGCAGATCTAAATCAAATTAAATAATCAAAAAGCATGAATGAACAACACTCACATGAATTTTTATTTCGATTAACAAAAATGACGAACAATTTGAAAGAAATGAATTGATTATCAAATAAATAACAAAAAATCAAAGCGATAATTATAGCAAATAATCATTCAAAACAACGAATGGTTGAGAATGAAAATCGGAGAGAAAAGAGGAGAGAGAAAGTACCTTGAGGAGGAACCTGTAGACATTGATGAGTCCTTAGAGAAATGGGTTCCTACCGCCAAGAATAGAGAGAGGAAGCAGAGATAGAAAGTAGAGTAAGAGGTAGAAGGCGAGCATTTTAGTAGGAAGTCGTTTGGGTATTTATAGACCCAGTGGAGGAGAGCTGGAGAGGGTACTGAGATTTCTGGGGTTGGTGAGTGTGTTTTTTTATTTTTATTTTTTATTTCACTATTCGTTTTTTTTTTTTTTTTTTTTCTTTTTTCATTTTATATTATTTACAATTTTAAAAGGCTTACAAACTCTAAAGTTCATAAATATAAAATTAAAAGAGGAAAATAAGGATGCATGTGACGAGGGGAGAGATAAAGATAAATGACAACTTAAAATGATACGTAATAATATCAATTTTTGACATAAAATTGCAAATACTATGAAATGAGAGTTCTGTAATATTTTATTTTAATTTTTAATTTTGTTTTTGTTCGGTTTACTACTCTGTATTCTAGATCTGCCACTTTTAAAACTTTTTAATAATATTTCTTATTTTGGTACTGATTTTTTGGACCAAAATTTTATGCAAATATAAAAATAGAAATTGAATAAAAATAATAAAAAAAAATGAATATATGGATCTGAATGTGTAGACGCGCGTGACATGCGCGTGTGCTTGTCGTCAGTGTGGAGTAGTGGTTGGGATTATGTGAAAGGATGGAGAGTGGGTCCCATAAATAGAGTGAGATGGGTAATTTGAGGTTTGCTAATTGCTATGCTCTCGGTGCGCACAATTTGTTTCATTTTGTAAAGTAATTCGTTCCACGTGTATAAGCGTCGGTACATTTGTGGTTATTTATACACTCCTATGTACAATGGAATAGCCTGTAGTTCATGGATTTTTTGCAAAAGTTTGATTTGCAAACTTGATTAGGATTTAGGGGTATACAAAGTTTGGTCTAAAATGCACCAAATCGTAAATTAAACTGTATTTTAAATAGTTTAGCTTGATTTATCGTTTTAAAATATAATTTGGCTTGAAAAAATTTTCAAAGTGCAATATATTGTTTAGTTTGATTATACAATGACGGATTTTGGGCAAAAAGTTGGGGACAAGATTTGATCATCAACCTTTTGCTTAAAAATAGAAGTACTTAATCACTACTCTCTTTGTTCCCTTATTTTCTTATGTTTTTGTTTAATGTGTTTCCTTTTATTCTTTACATTTAATATCTTTTCTTTTTAGTGATAAATTTTGGACATAATTATCCTTGTTTTACATTTTTGATACTAACCGTCTTTACTTTTCCATGTGCTATTGTACTTTTTGTATTGTTTTAATGGTTTTGCAATACTCATTATTACTTTCTCTCTCATCTCTCCTCTATTTTCTTCACCCCAAATGTACAATTTCTTTTTCAATAGAAATTGTATTTTCAATCAATGAATTATTCCAATATACCTCTATTTTATACAAATTCTTAATAACCGCGCATATTTTCAAAAGTTAAAAACAAAAGAGAACGGAGGGAGTATGTCACAACTTTTTTATATATGTAATTATTAGGCAACTTATTACTTATAATCAACAATTCAAAAATATTTAGGGGGGCGAGCAAGAACAAAGATTCGCCTCAAGACGTATGTGATTTGTTTTGCTAATTTGTGTAGTTAGACTTTGATGCTACAAATTAATATATTGTTGAAACGCAAACCAAACGGCACCAAACCGTTTTAATACAGTTTGGTTTAGTTCGGTTTGACACGTAATATAGTTTGGTTTGGTTGAGTTTAATGTCAAACCGTATTTTAATGTTTAAGTTTAGATTACACCCCGAACCTCACTATACAGAACTACTAACACCTCTGTACTTGATAACATATACATCAAGCAATTTTGGTAATGAAAATAAGGAACTCACTTTTGTGACTTTGTGGTAACAAGTTTGAGCTTCATCATCTACGGGGGAAGGGGGAAGGGGGATTCTTTTATCTTCCCCTCTACTCTCAAGCATTGACACGTGTACATAGGTAGGTTGGTTAACATTGTAAGAGGTGTTAAATTAGTAGGATTCTTCTTCTTAACAAAAAAAAAAAAAAAAAAAGAATTGATAACTCATATGTGTGGGACTCATAACCATGAGATTGTGGGACCAAACACTTTGGGGTAGGGTTTTCCTTACCTTCCTCTCCACTCTTACAGGGTTTAGTTCGCTAACCCAGATTGGGTTAACTTGTGACAGGTTTCAACAGCACAGTAGGGACCTCCTCCTTATCTACCCAAAAAAATAAGTATCTGATAACGCATATTTAACCAAATATATACAGAGTATTTATTAATTTTGCATTAAAAATAAATTTTTAATATTTACGAATACAGTATTTCGATCTACACTTCCTCTAAATGGAATATTATACACTGTTCACTCCGTTTGATTAAATATTAAAAAGTTGATATTGTGAAAATTTATATCAATACCTGTTTAACAACATGTTTCATTTTCGTTTAAAAAAAAAACATATTTCATAATTAAATTTTTTTTTTCATAAGTTTTTTAAAATCTATGGTCAAAGTTAGAACGTGAATAGTGAAAAAAAAAATCCAACTTGTCAGTTATTTTGCGACGGAGACAACTCTCTAATATGACAACTAAATATAAACCGATGGATCATTATCATAGACTAAGGCCCTGTTATCTTCAGCTTGTATTTGCTAAACTTAAATTATTTTAGTTGAATTTAAATTATTTTTACTAAACTAAAATTAATCTTACAAAACTTAAATTATTTTTACTGATTCACTATTATATATCTTTTTTATAAAGTTACTCATTTTTTTTTAATACATTTTTTTTTACTCAACTTGACTTATTTTTGTTGAACATAAATTATTATTATCGAACTAAAATTATTTTTTTACTAAATATTATTTATTTTAAGGTGAAAAGAACAGTGCTTAAAAAATGTGCATAAAATGGGTACTACTTAGAACTTGTCCAGTTAATATGAAATAAGGTATTCTAATTAGATTTCAATAAGGTCTAATTCAAGGTATGTTCTATTCACCTGATTTTCACTGATATGAACTTATCTGAACCTATTGGACCTTATTAAAACTCATTTTAGTTGTAATTTGTACTCAGGTAACCCTTATCAGAACTTATAAACCTGAACTGAACTCATTTGAACTTATTACACCTGAAACAAGCGAAAATAAGGTGAACAGAACTGGCCCTCAGTCTAATATGAATTTTTCTAATTTGGTCTAGTTATGAAGTGCTACATTTTGTCTAAACTTTAACTTATTTCTACACTAATGTATCAAAATAAACATAGTCAATTAAGATGTTGTAAGATATATTCGTCTCACTGTGTACTTTTTAAATACAAAGTATGTAAAATCCACAAGTTTTATTCATATGCAATTGAAGACATTTAACAATAAGTAAACGAAATTTAAAATATTTATATGATTTACCTAAATAATTTCTCATTTAATTTGATCTGTTTCGTTCTGACAAAAAAATGTAATAAGTTTTTTATTGTTTGAAGAGAACAAGTCTATGAAAATTACTTACTTGCTTCGTTCCACAGATATTACACCATATTGAATTTTACGCTTGTCAACACACAACTTTGATCAACTATATATTGTTAATTAAACACTTTTTTTTAGGGGAATGTTAATTGAACACTTGATAACTTAAAATTATAAAAACTTGATATTTTAAAAGTATAAATTGAGACGATTCTAACAAGATCTCACATAACTATATGATTCATTGCACTTAAATCGCAATAGATAGTTAAAGGAAAGCACATATGTAAATCCCTACCTTATTTAAAAGTTTGAGAAAACTCTTTTTAAAAGTATTTGGACAATTATATCTTCTAAGTTGTTTATTTACTTATTTGCCCTCGTTAATGTTAAATACCTTTTTTTTCTAAACTTTTTATATCCTCTAAATTGTTTATTTACTTATTTTCCCTCATTAATGTTGAATACCTTTTTTTTTTTCCTTTCCTTTTTTTTAAGAATAATATGTAGACTTTTATACCAATATTTCTTAACATATTATCCCTTATTAATGCTACCAACTACTAAACTTGTGATACAAGATCAAACTGAAAGAGCTTTTCGAACATCGTGCGCATTAGACACTACTCTAGTAGTGTAAAGGTTAATAGAGTGAAATTTACGAGAAGATATTCTAGGAATAATAGAGGAAGAGTAAAAAGTTTGGCTAATAAAATTGACTGATATTAAAAAAAAAAAAAAAAAAAAGTAAACGAAACGTAGATTGAAGTTTACCAAAACTTAGAGAAGATATTTAGGGAGAATTGACGAGTTGTTAATTATGATGGCACTCAAAAGACAACTTATAAGAGTTGGTGGCTGCAGGCTTGGTTGGTGAACGATTAGTACGTGCGTAGCATTCTTTCATGTGATTGCCATTTGTTTCATAATAGGTAGCCACTTTACATCCAACGTAAGCTCGTCTAACAAGTATTCGTATTACAAATAAAATAAAATAGAATAAATTTATATTAGAATATTGTTTGATTAATTCTTATGGTTTTCAAGAATTTCAACCCTCGACATTGATCATAAATACATTCATAATACGTGTGAATTTAATTATTATTTACATAATTGAAAATGTCATAAAATTATTATTGTTTTTCATATGCGTTTTTTGACTTATATATTTGATTACTGCGGTTTTTTGTTTACTTTGACTTAATACTAGAGTTGTTAATTTAAACATATTTACATAATAAAAGTGTAAATATTTGTAACATTTTGATTTTTACACTGTTAATACAATATATAAAAATCTAACATTATAAAATATGAAATACAATAAATGTTGTTAAAGATGTATGTAATCTTGATGTACTACGTATAATTGTTAAAATCAAATATTTATGCATGTGTTTTTGTCCAAAAAAGGACAATAATTGTATATTTTTAGGATTAAGCTTGTGTAATGTGTATAAGTGTGTCAATAATATTAATATTTTAACACAAAAATAATTGATCCAATACATTTGTTGAAAATAATAAGAAGTCAATCATGTACAAAGATTATAATTCGATACGAAGAGAGGGTAGGTAAGGTTGGTGACGAAAATACTTTACGCCTTTCATTATATTCTATTAATATCTAAGTGTAAACACTTTAAAAGAGCACTAGTGTGATAGCTCGCATCTGAACCCACTCTCCTCCTTGCGTTTCTTGTTCTTCAATAATACAAATACTTTGTGTATTCTTTTGAAACAAAGAATAAAACAAGTAAATGTAACATTCCAATTGGCATGGCTAGCTTACATCTAAATTACGAAGTATTTTTTAGGGATTTTATGCATCATACCGCTATAATATTGGGTTTTTTGGAAGTTACATGTTTTACTCTGCTTTCTTGCACCCAAAAAATGACAATCCCACCTTGTGTGATTGACGAGTCATCGTTCGAGCGGTGGAGGAGATCGATCAAGCCTACGACGAAGGTAATGCTGATTTTGCTTAATTGTGATTGGGCATTCTTTTTGTCATTTTTTCTATTGATTTGAGGTAATGTGGCAGGAAATTAGATGCGTGTGTATGAATTAAAATGCTATTTTGGGAGGTGAGTTTTTATTGAGAATTCATAATAATTAAATGCTCTACAATATTACTCCATCTATCATTTTAAAAATTGTGATCTTTTAACTATCTATTCCCTCCGTATTTAATAAGTGAAATGTTTTACATTTTTGCACTATTCATTTAATTTATTTTGACTAATTTTTGTAATTTATACATACATAATAAATACAGTCTTGTGGGTAGTTATTGTAAACATCTCAGTCAATAGTTTAATAATATTCAATTGTTATAATTTTTACTTATTAATAAAAGACATTATCAATCAAAGTATTTCATTGACATACGTGCACCAAAAAAAAAAAACGTTTCATTTATTTAAATACGGAGGGAGTACCAATGAGTCTTTTCAATTTTCACATGTCTAACTTGACTCGTTATTGTAAATATCAAAAAATGTATCTCCAGATAAAGCCCGACGACGAAACAATCTCCACTACCTAATTTGGTCCAGATCGTGTGATGGATTGAAATATTACTTAAATAGTCCTTTTATCAATCCTAGTCCACTATCATTTCCTAATCTATTTTAGCCATTTCCATAACCCAAACACTTTTCTATTCTAAAATCCACAAACCTTAGCCCGATTTTCTATTCTAATAACTGTAGCCCGCAACTGAGATAATCTGATTTTTGTGCCTCACAATTTTTATGCAAACCCTACATGGTTGGCTAACGCCAGAAATAAGCTTTCCAATTATATATCATGAGCCCAATTCCTGTTTAAAACGAAAGAGATATGAACAAATACTAAACTTAGTTCAAAACCAACACATTTGCAATATTTTGGCTATATCATAAGATCTAGAAATGATATTAACTTGATTCTAATTGGTTGGAAAGTATATTTATAGAGCTTTCCAACGGTATATTATTTGTCTTATTCCAAGTTCGGAATCAAAATTACAATTAAAACAAAAACAGACAAAATCTAAAAAAGTGTCACGCGCGCCACGCCAAATTTAGCGTGACATAGAAATTGTCCGTGTCACTCCAATTCCAGCGTGGCACACCATTTTGTATTACGTCGCGGTGCATCTTCATGTGTTGCAGCGCACTTCCAACTTTTATTATTCTTTTCTGCTTCTCGTTTATAATTGCTGACCTATTTTCTTATATTCACAACAGGAATTGAATCCGACGACTAGTTTCCAATTCCAAGTGACTTAAAAGCTTAGACATGAAGCTTCGACGTACAAATTCTATTGTTCTTAGCTTTATTTCTAATCTTATTTAAGTAATTCGAAGTCCATAACAAGATCGGAAGGTTCTACCTTTAGACCAGGCATGAAGGTATAATCTAAGAGATTGTTATATACACCTGGGTGCAAGGTACACCCAAGAGCATTTTGTTCTCATTTTTCGTTAATTTTTTGCAAATTTTAAGCTCAAACCGGATCCAAAGGGAAAAAATGACCCCCCCTAAACCTCTAAAAAACATGTTATTAACGGATTTGGTGGTGAAATCTAAATTTTTCGTCTTTTTTGGGTGGTATTTTAAAATAATTGTTTTTGGGATGATATTATCAATAAGTGGGTTATTTGTGGGTGGTAAAATACAAAATTTCTATATAATTATTAGAATCTTTAGAATTTCAATTTAATAAAAAGTAATTTTAACTCAACAAAAGTAAGATGAAGGGAAAATGATCTCAAGTATAAATATTTATTCTACCCAGGCCAGCAAACAATGGGGCAAGCATCAGTTAAGGGCTCTTTTTCCCCGATAACGTCACAAGCCAAATTATGGGCATTTTGCTACCGGGAAACCCCATGTTAGACACTCTGGTATGGGACCTCACTACGTTTGGAATATTTCACTTAAGTCAACTATTTGAGCACTTAAACTCAGTCTCGAAGATAGTAAGTGGCCTTAACATTGGATCTGGAAAATAGATATCCCTTCAATTTTCCAAATTTTTTATGGAAAGATTTTCATACCAGCTTAGGAGTTAGAGATACACTTTACAAAAGAAACATTGTCTCTTTAAATACTACTAGCCCCCTTTGTAATCATCAAAATGAAACAATTGATCAACTCTTCCTAAATTGTATAAGAATTAGAGAAATTTTGAACCACTTATACTAAGAAATTGTTAAATTGTACAACGTCTTTATTAAATTTAACCAAAACATTGATATTAATATACCTATTAAGAAAACACCCAAACATTTTAAGGAAATTTATTCTTCTAATTTGGAGTATATGGAAATAGTACGTAGAATGCTATTCTATTTTGCAATGAGACCTTTAACATGTTTAGGATTAACAGATTTTTCACCATATACCATTGAGTTAATGCATAATTCACCATATACCACACAAAACTTTCTAATACACCAAATACCACTGAGTTAATGTAGATTAACACAAAATGCCTTTTTTTGGTAACTGTCGTTAGTCTGTCGTTAACGCCGTTAGTAATTAAGGTTAATTGTGACACGTGGCTGTCACTTATTGGCTCTTATTAATAATAATTAACTAATTACTTAAATAAAGGATTAAAAAACTTAAAAAAAAAAACCCACCACCCATATCCACCGCCCTCCCACCCCATCTAGCCCCAACTGCTCCCCACCAAGCCTAGCCTGCCCCCAACCCCGTCGGCACCGCCACCTGAATTGAAGTCCCCATCACTCTCTCCTTTTTCCTCACCTCACCACTAAGCCACCACCTGAGACTGTCGCCAGCACAACCTTCTCAATTTTCATCGGCGACACTCAGATCACTGTCTTCTTCATTTGAACTCATGAAACCCTCTGTCATCTTTGCAATCTCTGGTTAGTTAAGGGGTGGATTGGGAATTCGGGTCATGTAAGGGGTGGAGTTGAGGATTAGGGTCAAGTAAGGGGAGGGGTTAGAGGTGGGGGATGGTTTTCGGGGAAGGGGAGTAGGAGTGGGATGGTTGCTGGCGTCAGGAGAAGGGGTCGAGAATGTCGCCGGCGGGGAAATTGGGAATTGGGTTAGAGAATCGGGAATTGAGAAATCAAGAATTGGGGAATCGGGGAAGCTTCCGGCGAGAGAGGGGTTACATGTGGGGGATGGTTTTCGGGGAAGGGGAGTAGGAGTGGGATGGTCGCCGACGTCGTGGGAAGGGGTTCGAGAATGTCGCCGGCGGGGGGGAAGGGGTGTGGTCGCCGGCTAGCTAGCCGGGGGTGGGGGTCGGGGTTGGGCTGGGGGCGGCGGTGGCTAAGTTGGTGGTGTTTAATTTTTATTTTATTTTTTAAATTAATTTTTCTAAAGTTAATTAATTAAATAAATAATATTAATAAGAACCAATTACAAGCTGCCACGTGGCATAATTAACGTTAATGACTAACTGAGTTAACGGAAAGGGCATGTTGTGACATTTACCAAAATCTCAGTGGTATTTAGTGTATTAGAAAGTTTCATGTGGTATACGGTGAATTATGCATTAACTCAGTGGTATATGATGAAAAATCCGTAGGATTAAATTACCATCGATCGAAATCTTGCATTAATGAGTGACACCTAAGAAGTTTCATATATATTTTTTCCTCAATGAGATCTCCCATTCTAAGATCTCATAACCATCCTCCTCTTACTCACTTTCCATTATCCGTCGTTATATATGGAAGACCTCCTCCTAATAACTTCTTCAAACTCAAATTCGACAATTCAGTTTGCAACAACTTAGCAACAACACTAGCAACACCAAAGCATTCATAACAGAAGCTATAACTCTTTATAAAGGAGTTCAACTAAAAATCTTCAATGCGGCCATCAAACATTCAAATTGAAGGTGATAAACTTTAGTCATCAACTCAATAAAAGGCATTTGGGCAGTCCTTTGGCATATCGAGTAGTATATTACGTGGCATTGAATATGCTCGTTCTCTCCTCACTTTGTTTACAATTGAAATATCTCGCAGATGAAGTTATCAAGATCGAGATTCTAAGGGTGTGTTCTATTCACCTGATTTTAACTTATCTGAACTTTATTGAGCTTCTCTGAATTTATTGAAATTTATTTTAATTGTAATTTGAACTTGGGTAACTGTAACACCCTAGAAATTTCCTTCCGTTGAAATACATGTTTTACCCTTTTAAAATACGAAGTAGGAAATAACTAAGATATTACCGTCACCGTGATCACGGTTAAGACTTTTATTAAAGACACACAGTGGAAGACATTTTAAACATCTTTCAAAATAAAACAAAGTCCAATAGTTAAACCAAACAAAGGTAAAGTCAATATTCAAAGCAAATAAATAAACCATTCATATCCTATAAAATTAGAACAAGATTTGCTCTTCGCTCAAACCCCAACATGAATATGCTGCATCACCTAAAAAGTGTAACACCCCAGGTCAACATTAGCTCACTGGTAGATATTGTCCTCTCTAGGTCTAGCCTGTATGGATTTGCTTTGGTGTGGACAAGAAGTCCTACCCAAAATGCCTCTACTAGGTTGTAGTATCAACCCCCATATAAGGAAGACTTCGTTATCTTCAACTTTCGACGTGGGAGTGCCATAGATACCTTATTATTTTTACATTTTGTAGATAAATAATGTTGTTTAAAAATTAATGTGCAAAGCAAGGTACAAGGTTACCATTGAAAATGGTCTAAGGTTCGAACTTTGTTACTTATGTTTGCACCCACAGGCCATGACCCCTCTAGGTCTCTAGTGTTCAAACATTGGCGAATCATAATGCATAAAACTTTTAATTTGAAGATGCTAATATTATGATTTAACATTTGAATAAAATTAAAACTAATAATCCACCTTTGACTCATCTTCTCAAAGTACTATCACCTTTTAAAATTCTGAAAATAATCCCATCTTATTACTCCATCTTTTCAAAACAAACCTTTCTACTTACAACTAGTTCAAAAGGTATTTTTTTATTTTTTTCATTTCTTTAATCTCTCTCTTCCCACCTTATCCTCTTCTCTAAAGGCAACCCCTCCATCACCACCGTGGGTACCACCCCTCACGACCTCAACCCCACCACACCCTCGTCACGCACCCCCTTCCACCTGACGCTATACCATCGGACTGAAACCCCATCCCACAAGACCGAGATCCCACCTCACCTCGAAACCCACCACATCGAACCAAAACCCCGCCCGCACCGGACCTAAATCCCAACCGAAACCCGCCGCATCCGGCAAATACCCTACTTCACCTCAAAGCAAGAAAGTCGGTATTCAATCTTTGTTGCAATAATAGCAACATCAGTTGCTTGTCAGAAAGAATAGAAAAAAAAAAAAAAAAAGAGGAGAGAGAAAAAAATTGGGTTCAACTTTGAATAGTAGTGGAAGTAGCTAGTAATTGTGATTTTTCATTCAAAGCTTTGTTTATCGGTGATGATGGAGTTGACAAAAGTAGTTTGCTTGTTATTTTCATTTCTTATTTCACTCATGATCCGGCGAAAGTGAGTAAGGATGCTCCGGCAAGGGTCGGTGGCGGTGGTGGTTAAGAAGGGGGGATGAGAAGAGGGAAGGGGATAGGAACAGGAAAGGGAAGACAAGGGGCTGTTTTTTTTTTTATTAAAAAATAAAATCAGGCCAATTAGAAATTGCCATGTGGCAAGTAACCTACTTCTACGGTTACCAAGTTAGAAATTCGATCAATGACCCATTTTGAGAAGATGCAGTGGTTAATAAGGTGTGACTATTTCAAAAATTTTAAAAAGTTTGGATTATTTTGAGAAGAAGAGCCAAAGGTAGGATTATTAGTTTTAATTTTTCCTAAAATTTATTGGCATTATTAATAATTTGGCTTTCAGAAGAAAAAAGAAACCGCAGGACAACATTTTTGTGTGGCAATGCATAAGTTAATTTTGGGTTGGAAAGGGATAAGTTATGTGCTTTGGACACATTGTATGTCTACATTCATAAATGTAAATGATGAAAATGAAAGCTTTAACTTTGTTCGAGCAACAGAAAACTGTTTTTCGCGACCTTCTACTTTTATCAAGTCCTAATGCCCTACCTCATTGGCTCTTAGCATAACTAGTTGTACACCTGTATATTTTGTCAAAATCTTGTTCTATTGAAACACAAAATTACAATCAATATAAATACAAAACTATACTTAGAGTGTGATTTCTATGTAATGGAGTGTGATTTCTATGTAATGTATGGTCCTGTTTAATATAGGGCATTTCTTAATAACTTGCCCCTTACGAACACTTATATGTATCGAGAAAATTGCAGCAATTTGACTTTTATACTATTCACGTGATAGCTTTGAACATTTGTATTGAAAGAGTATAAAACCATGAAACAAAGTAACTAGTCCGTCTTCATGTTTGGTTTTTCACAAATTTTTATATGTGGCTGGTTACACCGTGTGGTCGGGGTTATTTATAAGGGTTACTTGTTTGGTAAGGGGTTACTCGTTTGGTCAAGGGTTACTTATTCAGGGGTTACTCATTCAAGGGTTACTCGGTCGCTCAGAAGTTACTCTCACACAGAAAACGCGCTAACCGACCGAGTAAATTTAGAATAAGTAACCCTTGAGTCCCTGACCAACTAAGTAACCCCTATATAAGTAACCCCGACAAAAACGTGTTAATCGACTGAGTAACCCCAAAATAAGTAACCCTTGACCGGTAGTAACCCCTAAATAAGTAACCCCTATAAGTAACCCCAGCCTTACGATGTGGCCAGCCACACTAAAAAAGCACCGTTTGTTTTTAGTTTTAGTTGTTTTTTTTTTTTTTTTTTTTTCATGACAAAAAGTGGTTTGATTGTATAAAAAATTATTTGAAAATTTTTGTTGTCAGTTTTCACAATAATGATAACTTTAACAAAATTTTTAAAATTCTTTTTATGATACATACATATGGACTTTCAAAATAAAAAATACTAAAAACTACAATAATGCTAAACAATCACTTAATTTTTGTTTGATTTGATCATTTAATTTGGTATTAAAACTAGCGCAAATGAAAAATTGAAAAGGCCACAAGTTGATTTTTATTTTTTTTTTTTATTTTTTTTTTTTACAGAAAGTTGAAATTTTATTTACCCTACTACAAGATAAAATATTTAGTGCTGAATATGAGGATATTCAATTTCATATGAAGCGACGTAGTAGAGTTCAAAATCAATCCTGAGACTCTAACCATCAAGCTAATTTTGTTTCACTTCTTAACAGAGGAAGCGCGTATATACATATTAAACAACATTTTTTTGTGCTATTTTCCTTGTTAAGTCGTAAGAAAGTTTACCAAGAAGGGTTTCGGACTTTTGGAGGCCCATGCAAACTCTATTGAATTGAAATAACACAATTTTTTGGCTGAGGTTGCCCAGCAAATGAACATTTACTAGAAATAAAATAAACATTTTATAGAAAAAAAATGAACATTTATTTCTGCATTATATAAAAATGAACATTTATAATATAAGAGTAAAATAAAGAGACTATGGGCCTGTTCTGTTCAGCTTAATTTCAGTTCAGTTCAGTTCAGCTCCAATCAGTTCAGTTCAGTTCTTAATTTCCTTTTCTCATAAACAATTCATTATCTCCATTCAGTTAAGCCCCAATCAAACCAATTCAGTTGTTTTCAGTAAATCAGAACAAGCCCTATGAAACTGAAAATAAAAAAATAAAAAATGTACATTTAATATTATATAACTGAACATTTCAGTTGTAAATAAAAATGATGGATATCTTGCAATTGAACTATATGATTTAATACCAATTAAATAAACCAACAATATGTTTTTCAATAATGAACAAAATGCTAATGTCTAACATTAATAATGCTAATGTTAATTGAACATCCTTTATTATAAAAATGAACATTTTATACAACTGAACAAACACAAAAATTTGTATTAATTAAAAAATAAAATGAACATTTATTTTTATAAGATTGAACATCTTACGGCATGAAAATGAACATTTATTTTATAAGAAAGAACATCATACTGCATGAAAATGAACATTTGATTATTGAGAAATACAAAATTATTGTAAAATATGTTCAGTTAGAAAATGCTCATTTTTGTTATAGTAAATGTTCAATTTTAGCGGCGGCCTCAGCCAATGCTGGCTGAGCGCGACTCACTGAGCGTGACCTAACTACTGTTGAAATAAGAGCACTTTCTTATCACAATAGGTACGGAATGGAAATATTTACAATTTGATATTTTTTGAAACATGATCTAGTAGGCTATTTAAATCTTAAGGGAAATTCTACACAATAATCCTCAGGTGTTTACTTTTCCATGTTGTGCCCCCTTCTTTTAAAAATTCCACGCTGTAACCTAAGGTCCATTTATTGACTACACTGTAACCTTGTCGTTAACCCTCCGTTACATGTTGCCGTTAGTGGGGCCCACTTTACACCTGTTTAATTTTTTTTCTCGATGTTCGTGCCAAAAAATATTCCGTTAAAGGTTTTAGGGGTCATTTTAATTCTTAAGGGACCAAATTGAGTCCGGATTTTGCAAAAAAATAACGTAGAAACCCCATTTTGTGAATTCGAATTTCTGTAGTTAAATTTAGAATTCACAAAACAGGGCTTTTTTTTTTTTGTCAAATCTGAGCTCAATTTGGACCCTAGGGCCAAAATGACCCCTAAAATCTTTAACGGTATATTTTTTCAGCACGAAATCAATAAAAAAATATTAAAAAGTGCAAAGTGGGTCCCACTAACGGTGATTGTTACGGTAGGATAACGACAAGGTTACTGTTGAGACATAATTGTAAGTTAAAGGTTATAGTGTGTAATATTCAAAAGGAGGGGGCACAACTTGGAAAAGTCAATACTTGAGGGTTATGGTATAGAGTGGTTCTAAGAATTTATCAAGAAACAAAATGTGTATGGGATGGATTATTATTGTTTTTTCTTAAAAGGTCTTACTTTTTTTTTTTAAATGGTGAAGGCAAAAGGTCTTACACTACTTAAGCAGCACTTAGTCCAGTTACATAAGACCATCTTCTGTGTTAGATTGTGAAACTTTGTAGTTGGAGAGTATTCCATTGATCAATAAATATAGGGTTTATAATATGTACGACAATTCTAACTTTGTTAGGAAACTTGTCAAATATGATTATATTTACATAAAAATATATCCTATACCTATGAGGAGTATATTTTCTATCTCATCCCCGCAATCATAGCGGGAGGAGGTCGTACGCTAAAACTGATCTAAAATCCAAAAATAAATCTCGAGGCAGGCCTTTCGTGAAAATATCTGCAAACTGATACCGTGAAGGAACATGTAGTACTCGAACTTGACCCAAAGCAACCTTCTCACGAACAAAGTGTATATCTAACTCAACATGTTTCATGTGTTGGTGTTGGGCTGGGTTTGTAGACAAATAAACTGCACTGATATTATCACAATAAACAAAAGTGGCTTGACGAAGAGGACAATGTAGCTCAGGCAAGAGATTATGGAGCCAACAAGCCTCCGAGACAACATTAGCTACGCCTCGGTATCCTGCCTCTGCACTAGACTTAGACAATGTATGCTGGCGTTTTGACGACTAAGAAATAAGATTGTTACCCAAAAAAACAACAATAACTGGAAGTCGAACGACGAGTGTCTGGACAACCCGCCCCATCAGCGTCAGTATAAGTAATCAACCGTGTAGTAGCAGACAAATATAAATGTAATACGGAGTATGTACTTATGATATATTGTATAATAACTTAAGGTAAGTTCAGATTAAATATTGTCAAAAAGTAAGTTCAGATAAAATCAATTAAGATAATATAGCGTTTTGGAACATATATTTCATTTGAAATAACGAATTTCAATTATACAATTATAAATCATGAATTACAAATCCAAATTCGGTGTTTGGGAATTTCTAGAATTTCAATATGTGGAATTCTAATCCAACATTACGTTTGGGAAAATAGATCATTTATTACTATAATTGTAAGAAAAAAAAAATCAAGTAGAAAAGCAAAAGTGAAGATTAAACAAAGCAGAAACCCTAAATTATATCAATCAACTAAATCCCCAAATTTACAAGACCTAATTTTATTTCTTAAATAAAAAAGATAACAAAATATGGAGTCCAGCAAATCAAATCACTAAGAATTGGAAAAATAAAAGAAACGATGAAAATCGAAGTAAAAGAAAAATAAAAAAGACGGGTAGTCAGAGAGGGAAGAGGAGAGAGAAAAATACAAAAACCAAAAGTAAGAAGACAGTGAGGAGAGAGAACGATGAGTACTCCAGCTGGTGGCAGGTGCGACAAGGAGAGAGAAAGTGTGTGTACGGAGGTTGTTGAAGAGAGAGAAATGTGGAAGGTTAGATTGTAATTTGAAATGACAGGGCTTGAGGTGTCATTTTGAAATTCTGATTTTGGTCTTATTTTTAGACGAGTTGGAATTTGGCCCAAATTTAGAATTAAAATTCTTGGTTTGCCAATCATGTCATTTGGGCCAAATCCAGGATTTCAAATGAAATTTGTATTCCCAAACAAGCTATTGATAAATTCAAATACTACCGTTATTTCATATTATTTGCAGCATTTGCCAAAACTGAATATTATATACTGTTTGTACTAAATGCTTTATTTCCTTTTTAAGTTGTCATTTCTCTCTATCTCTCTCCTCATCGCATGCATTTCTATCTTTCTCTAATTCAATAATATATTACAAAATAACTATAACTTTTTATTCATTTATAATAGTATAAAAAATAAGTCAAAGTGATGCGAATATTAAAAAAACGGAGGAAGTATTAGAAAAAACTAACATTTGACATAATTTTGTCTGGAATGACTATTTATTGCTTTATTATTACTCAGAATTATATATTTTATTAATTTGGTGGTCAATGATCTATAAAATTGTCCGATATTTTTGAAAATATTGATGAATCTTTGACCAAATAGATTGATTCAATTGAACAAGTTTGGCATGCAAAAGATTGTTGTAGAGTACAAGAAGATAGTACATCCAAAGTTCCAATATATTAACTTAGACAAAATAGGTGGCTAATTTTACTATTAATTAATTGGAGCAAGAAATCATCACAATTATTTAATTACTTCGTATTAGATTGGATAAAGGAAGCTTGAGATAATGGGAAGTTGGCAACCTAAACTACTTAGGTCAAAGATAGTTTGCTCACTTAGTGAGAGCGATTGTATTTAAGTCAAAGTGATGACAAATTATTTGACTTAAAAATTCTATTAGATCACGTTAATTTGATTTAATTAGGTGGAATAGTTTTGTGCCAACAATAATTAAAGTTTATCTCCTTTCTGCCCTTTTATCCTTATTTCCACAGTGTCTTAGTGATTAGCTTGTTTTGTTGGCGTACTTAAGTTTATAGCTGATAAGAAACTTTAAATGATAAAAAATTATTAGCGATAATTGATCAGCAAATTGTGTTAAAAGGCACCAGTATTTATACTAATACTTCCTTCGTCCCATAAATTTTAATTCATTCCCTTTGTTTTAGAATAATTAATACTGTTAGGGACATAGTTTAAGAAAATGTCAAATGAAAAAACTAAGTTATTTAATACTTCGTATATAAAATAGAGTTGTGAATTTATTTTACATTATAGAACAAGAAACATGTGAGGAAAGGGAACCTAAGTGGGTCAAACATTTTAATAATTATGGGTCATATTTAAACAAGGAATTGTGTTATACTCGTAGTAATTATTCTGAAATAACCAAAAGAGAGAAGTGCGTCAGTTATACTGAAACGAAGAGTGTATGTAGACTTCCTTAGAAAAAGATTGAGGTTGCTGAATTTGCCTTCAAAGAATCTCTACCCATTATATGAATTAAACTAGAATTGATAAAATAATACGAGTAGAATTAAAGAATTTCAAATCTAAAATTTATTTCACATTTATGTGCCTCTGTTTTGGAGGGAAGCCAGTGGCTGTCAAGTGTCAACAGACAAAGGGAAGGGCAAATATATATAGAAAATATTGTAAGAGAGAGACTGCACAATCTGAAATTACCAGCATAAGTCAACAGCCAACATAATATAGATCCCATGAAGAATTAAAAATCATGGTTAAAGAACCAATAAAATATACACACCTAAGAAAAATATATCTATATGAATGGTATTAGCCCCTTTCCATTTGCATTTTGCAGCCATATACAGATACAAGAATATACCTTTACAATGTACTAAGAGCAACTCAACACGAAAAAGATGACCTTCAGCTACTGATTCTGCACTTCAGAGGGATCGACCAGACCTTCCAACACGACAAGTTGATCCAAGAGTTCAAGCTTCTCATCTTCGAGGCTCTTGATCTCATCTTCAGCCTCTGATAACTCAAGCCCCAACTGGCTGCTCTCTTTCCCCAATGAGAAAAATTTACGTTGGAGATCTATATATTCTTTTCCAACAGTAGAGGATTCTAGATGTGCTGAGGGTTTTGATCTCTCTTGCGGTAGGTACAACAATGATGGATCATTCTTCATGCCTTTTCTGGTAGTTTTATGTGCACTTCTTATAGGAAATGGCATTGGTGAGCCTTCTTGTAGGCCCCTCATGTAGTCTTCTGGTACTTGTGAAATCATTGGCCTCTGTGACTTCTGCTTCCGCTGATTGGCCTGATTCATCATCCTAGGATCTTGCATTTCTTACTTCTATTATGAACTTCCACTGCGTAAAATAATTGGACTTATGGGATACCTTTGCTATATATCCTACACAACAGAAGATACAAGTACTTATAATAAATTACACCGTTTATGATTTTTCAACACAAATGTGTCTAGATCGACACTTAAGAGTCTGACAATATCAGAGCAACCGAAACGTGCAGTCTGTGGCACAGTTTTTGACACAGTTTATATAATAGGCAAACACAGAAAGAGCCCAAGTCAATCCAATGAGGAAGAAGGATTTTATAGAAACAACTACAGAACTAAATCACAAGTACTGAATTCAGACAAAACTTTGGCAACTGTGTGCGTAAAACACACTATATTATGTACAAACATGGAATACTTAACGTATAACACCTTTACATTTCTTCTGCAAAGCAAATAGTTCTTATGTACATGTAGCAAAGACTCTTGGAGTCTTGGCTCATGATCCTTGTAAAAATAACATGGTTCTTGTCTTCCACAAAGCAAATCATATGCATGTACCAACAGACTCTTAGTTCATGATCCTTGCGAAAAGAACAAGGTTCTCAATGGTATTATACTTGCCCCATTCAGTTTTATATTCAACAAGTTCTTTCTATTCCCTCCACAGATTTCTTTTTGCCTTCCTAAGAAATTGAAGGTAATGTGTACTAACATCACACATGCACGAACAGCATTTGTGCTTTCTCCCAGTTTCAAATTCCCCATAACTTACAGCATTCAGCATGATTTACTAACGGACAGAGACAGAAGAGAATTGAACTGCCATCATAAATTCCTCAACAATGTTTTGTAGAAACAGACTACCCAACCAGTATAACCTTTCAAATTCCCAAAACCATCCAAAGAACAAAAAAGAAAAAAAGAAACAATGCCACAAAACACAAGAGAAGATTTGCTCAAGTTCTTCAATTAAAATAAATAGCTCTGGCAATCAATAAGAAACATCTAAATTATTTTAATCACCCACAGAATCAAATGATAATACGAAATCACAAGTTTTGCAATTACAGGGCCATGTATATACGTGAAATTGCTGGATCTCCAACAAAAAGCGATAAATTCAATTCTACAATAGCTAAACAAGATCAAAATTATGCAACTAATACGAAGCAAAAAACCAATTTAGGTGAGAACACTAAAGTTAATTTTACTCCCTTTGTTCCCATAGAAAAGTCCCATTTCATCCAATACTCTTGTCTCTAAATAAAAGTTCCAATTCACCTTTATCTATATATAAAATCACTTTTAATCAACCAAATCCCAAAATTTTCTATATTTATTAATTTTTAAACAACAAATGAGCCAAACCTCACTATCATATTATACATTCATTTTTTTTATCAACCAAACCCCACCATCTTGTTTTTAATATCCACCTTTAATCAACCAAACTTCACTATCATATTGTTATACTAACCTTACTAAATACTTGTGCAATAGGCAAATGAGACTTTTATTTGAGAATGGAGGGAACAATTGTTTTAACTATATATGAACCCAAACAATAATATTCCAGAAACTCAACATACGATGAGATTAGTTTACAAAATGAACAAATCCGGTTGTTCCCGAAACTCCCCGTCCCTTATTCATCTTTTGAAAGCAAGTGCCTTCAAGAGCACCTCCCTGGATTCTGAGGAAACTCCAACCTAAACTCAATTGAAGTATCTTCACTCTATTTTCAAGAACCTCCATGAAATCACCATTTAGGAGTGAATATCAAAACTAAATTTCCATGTGACATGTCTTTATGTCAAGATAAAAAATTTGGACCTAGATCGATCATCTCTTATCCAGTGAGTCAGATGCATTTTCTATTCACATTATTCCACAAAGGTAACCAATATATAGAAACATAATTTTCTACCAAAGCCAATTATTCCAAGGTAATCTACACAGCAGGGGCAGTCAACATCACAAAAACACAATTTTAAAAAAGATGAACAAACAACAAGGTCTATCAAATTATGAATTTAACTACCTTAGTATCACTTCTAGATTGCACGATTTTGAGTAAAGTTACAGAATGGACATGGGAGCTTAATCCACCTTTAAAATACAAAGTGGAGAAAAAAATTATGTCTCACAAATTATATGCTCCACAATCCGCATTATAAATCATGAAGCTACTATAGGCAAACTTTAACAAACCAAATAATCATGTTACAGTAAACATCTGACTTCTCTAAAGAAACAAACACAGTGCGCACACACATAACTATACACACATTGCTCAAACTTGCAGTTCACTAGGCACAGTTACAACATCAAATGATCGAATCATCTTCCATATGCTTAAGTGATGCCACTTTACTGATTTTCACTACCCTAAAATAAGATGAACTTGAAAGAGTAGTAAGAGTGACCAATTATCAGGCATTGTTTCCATGATTCGGTTTCCAACAAGACGGATTTTCTTCTCTATCACAATCTTCTAATACTGAAACAACAACAAAACATACTACTGCTACTACTACTACTACGACAATCATGAATAAGACGAACAACTATGATCGCCCTACGGGCCTACGGGATAATTTAGGACAAAATTAGATCAACCAGAACCCTGATTATCCTCAGGCCCGTCCATGAGCAAGGGCAGGAGGGTGGCTGCCCTGAGCGGCTAAGCCCGGGGTGAAAAATCCCATTTTCATAGTTCCGTCCTAACATTCAAGGGTTTTGCAGCAAATTAGCAACCAAATTTGATCCAATTATCAAAGGAAGCTCGAAAAATTGCGTTAATTTCTTCCATTTTCAGAATATGAATAGCAAAATTCTAGAAACTGAGATCGCTCATCATAATCTTTCGTAATTCAGTAATTATAATCATAGTTCGATGATCAACCTTAGAGGAACCCTAAATTGACTATAACTGACAATCAAATCAACGATTAACACCAGATTGTGAAATTGATATTCGATGATTAAATAAAGAAAATATATTACCTCAGAAAATGCTTCAATGGAGGATAGAAAGCTCAGAAGCTGTTTAATGGAGAATTCAGAGTACGCTTCAATGGAGAAGAAAGAGGGAGAGGGGTGTAGAGGAAGTGTAGCGAGGCAGCAAACGTGAAAAAGAAGATATAGATCGGAGGAATAAAAATGATACCCGGACCGGTTCATTTCACGATTTCTCGGGCTCCAGGAACTTTAGTCCACAAGGACTCTAGTGAAGGACTCTTATGTAAATGCCTATTTAATTGTAAGAGAAAGAGAAAAGAGGGTGACCCTCCATTCTAAATATTGTCGGTTGGAGTATCAATTTATTTACGGGTAAATTTAAGTTTATGTCTGAGATAAATTTGTGAATATATCAGCTCTCACAACTTAATCATTTTATTTTATTTTTTAAATGATAAAAGTAAAATAGTAAAGTGGCACAGATATTAATGCATAAAGTTGTGAGATTAAGATTTAATACGAGACTCCTCCTTCCTCTTTCCAAAGCCCTAGCCTCCATTGTTGAATTTTGAAGGGGATTCCATCGGTTTTAACCGGTGGAAAGTCCCATTCCTTGTTTCTTTAAAGTTTGTTTAGGTTTTATAATAATGCTTCCTCCTTTTGGGAGGAACTTTTCTCGCTTGAAAGAAAGGGTTTTCGATCTCCTTCGAAAGATAAGGGTTTTTCGACCTCCTTCGAAAGACAAGGTTTATCTCCTCTTTTTGGGGGAGAAATTTATTTGTTTTGAATCCATGATATTAGATCTAATGGATTGTGGTGAATATTTCGTTGGTAAAAAAGTTATCAAGTTTTCGAATACAAACAGATGAATCAAAAGGAAAACATCCTCACGGCTACAAAGGATCGTTAGATTGTCTCTCCAACAAGGTTGTATTTTTCAGCGATATAAGCGGGAGATGTTCCACAGTGCAAGATCTACTCGACGATCGTAGTTATTATGAAAGAAAATTTTATTTGATTTAATATCTTATGTATTTGTTAACGTCGAATCTCTATTGTAAATGTCGTATGACTTTTAATTAATGAAATATTTTTGCTATACAAAAGAAAAAAAAATAAATAAAATTGTGAGAGGAGATAAACTGGAATGTTAATCTCTGAGATTAACCTGGGCTCCTTCTTCATTTACGTCAGAAAAAGTACACTTGCACCCTGTATTGATAAATGTTTTTATAGTTCAGGCACTACTTTCCATTGGTATGTCTTATCTACCATGCAAGTTGGAATATATACCAACATGGACATGATACCATAACAATCGGATAGGTTTTGATACCATAACACTAGGAATGGGGTAGTACAATTTTTGAATATAATTAGTGTAAACTACTACAATAATTCTTATAAAATTCAAGACAACATAATAAATCTTGCACAATAACATAATATGTCTTAAACAATACATATATAATCAAGTGAGTATAAAAAATCTTACAATAATTCCGGAAGATACAATTTAATTAACTATTACAGTCCATTACAAGTAGTCGAATGCCAAAGGGTGGATAATCAAAGGTTTCCATTCTCCAATATTTCAAGATATGCGCAACGTGGCTGCATAGAATACACGAAGGTTTAACATTATAAGATACCAATTGAATGAACCGTTTTAAGTAAGCCCATACCAACATACATGTTAATCTGTTTATTGATATTATTAACAGAGATAGATATACCAACAATAAACAAACCCATACCAATTGAATGAACTATTTAAGTAAACTCATACCAACGTACATGTTATTGGTAAACAAAGATAGATATACCAACCGTAAGTAAACCCATACCAACGTAAATATTAATACTCCCTCCATTTTTAAATACTTGCTCTATTTTCCTTCTTCGGTCGTTTTTAAAATCTTGCTCCATTTCCTTATTTGGAAAGCTTTAAAAATATTTAATTCATTTCTCCCAACTAATGGACCTCACATAAATCATATTTTATTAATTTCATATTCTCTCTCCTACAATTATCTCAACTACTTTTGCTTTTTACAACTTTTTATTCTTCCACCTACCCCATTATCTCCATAGTTTATTACTTTATCCAATTTCTCCTAAAACTCCGCGCATAGAGAAATGAAACAAGTATTTAAAAACGGGGGGAGTAATTAAGTATAGTCGTATGATTAACAGAGATAGTTATACTAACATATTAGAGGTGATGAAAGTTAACCCGAGTTGACTAGGCCCAATTTTGGGCGGGTTTTGGGCAAAAAATTTCGGCCCGAAATTGGGTAGGGCCCGGCCCGGCCCGAAATTTGATTTATTTTTTTGGCGGGTTTGTGAATGCGTTTTTATGCATATTTAGTTGACTTTTTAAGCCCGGCCCGAAAAGCTCGCACGACCCAACCATTTTTGGCAGGTTTGGGCACAAAAATTCTGGCCTGAAGCTTGGCCCGGCCCGACCCACCCAATGATCACCTCTATAACATATATAGTTTGCAAAACAGTAAGTATAATACCAACAAGTGAACCTAAATTGTATGAATTAGTTGATGTAATATCTGGGTAACAGCAAGAATGAGCTAGATATATGGTCCCTAATATTTCATTAATTTACAAAAATCATAACAATGAATTAGAAGGAATTCAATGGGAAAACAAATTCTTTTGCAAATTTTTATTGTGTGAAAAAAAAGAAATGAAAATAATAATGTTGTGAATTGGGGGAAAAAATAAGAAATCTCACGCTAACAATGAAAATTGGCAGAAAAAGCAACAAAATTTAGACAACTTATGACAAGAGGAGCCCATATCTTTGTCCTCCTTAATATAAACATTGTTGTTTTAAAAAAAAAAATACTTTTTAAATTAATGACATACATACGTAGGCCCCACAAAGTCATAGAGTCCTTGTGGACTAAAGTTACTAGAGCCTGAGAAACTTTTGTACTTTCTCCGTGTTTTAATAAGTGTTACACTTTGACCGACACATAATTTTAGACACTTTAATTGACTTAAATAAAATAAGAGTTAACTAGGATAGTTGAAGTATTAAAATATTGTATAAGAAAGATAGTACGTGGAGTTAATAGTTTATTGAAAAGTAATGAATGTGAGAGGAAATAAATAATAATAAAGTAATAGTGGGTTTAGATAGGGATCAAGCCAAGAAAGCTGCATTAATAAGTTGGAAAATGAGAATGGGATCATGTGTGAAGAGGAAGGGAAAATGGCGAGCATAATTGAAAAATATTTTCTTGACATTTTTAATTACTTTTTGTCTTCCGATTTTGAGGAGGCTTTTGCAGGTTTAAATTCTTTGGTGATGGAGGAGATGAATGAAGCTCTAACAAAAATGCCTTTGGCAGATGAAATTTTCCAAGCTCTTTCACTAATGCATCCGAACAAAGCATCGGGTATTAATGGGATGCATGCTCTCATCTTTCAGAAATGTTGGCATATCGTTGGGGCCGATGTTGTTGGCTTTGTTCAGAATTGGTGGAGGGATAGGGGTGATTTGAGCTCTGTGAACCAGACTTGTGTTGTTATTATTCCCAAATGTCAAGAGCCAACAAGAATGACAGAGTTCCAACCTATTAGTTTAAGCAATGTCATTTACAAAATTGTCTCGAAGATGATGGCGAATCGGCTCAAAGTCATTCTTCCTGGTCTCATTTCCCATCATCAGAGTGCTTTTCTTCCTGGACGCCGTGAAGAGAAAAGGGGAAGGGAAGAGAGGAATTATGGCCTTGAAGCTCGATATGAGCAAGGCTTATGACCGTGTGGAGTGGGAATTTTTGGAAAAGGTTCTTGAGAGAATGGGATTTGCTTGTGGGTGGATTATGCGGATTATGTTGTGCTTAACGTCTGTGAATTACTCCTTCAAGTGGAATGGACAAGTTACGGGGAGTGTGAAGCCTACGCGGGGCTTACGACAAGGGTACCCCATCTCCCTCTATCTCTTCCTTTTGTGTGCGGAGGCTTTTTCTTCTTTACTTGTGAAGGCGGCTAATGAGAAAGTTATCAATGGTGCGTTGGTGTGCAGGGGGGCTCCGAGAATCTCACATCTGTTTTTCGCTAATGGTAGCATTTTGTTTTCCCGTGTGACACTTCAGGAGTGCTCGAAAATTGCTAATATTATTAGCGTTTATGAGAGAGCTTCAGGACAAAAGATTAACTTTGATAAATCTAAGGTGTCGTTTAGCAAGAATGTAGGAGACGGGAAATTATTGAGGTATTGGGGGTTAAGCAGGTTGCAAGACGTGATAAATACCTTAGGCTTCCTACTATCATCGCAAGATCAAAGAAAGCGGCTTTTGCTTGTCTTAAGGAGAGGATTTGGAAGAAAATGCAAGCTTGGAAGGAGAGGTTTCTATCTCAAGTCGACAAATAAGTGCTTATTAAAGCGGTGGCCCAAGCGATCCCGACTTACATGATACGATTGTTCCGGATTCCGGATGGTATTATTCATGATATAAATATGATGATGGCATGTTTTTGGTGGGGTGCTACGGGGATGGAAAGAAAGCTCCATTTGATTAATTGGGAGAAATTATGCCTCCCTAAGTCTCTTAGAGGGATGGGTTTCCATGACTTGGGAACTTTCAACCAAGCATTGCTAGCAAAACAGGGATGGCACCTCCTTTGTAACCCGAATTCTTTAGTGCACCACGTTTTCAAGGCTAGGTACTTCAAGAATGGTGATTTTTTGTCGGCTAATCAGGGTTAAGACCCTAGCTACGTGTGGAGGAGTATTTGGGGGCTAAGGCTATTCTTCTTGATGGGTTGAAGTGGAGAGTGGGTGATGGGATGGAGTTTAATGTTTGGGATGATGCTTGGCTACCCGGTGATAACGTGAGTCGAGTGCCTACACCCAATATTGATGCTGATCTGCGTGTTGCAGCTTTGATTGACAGTGAGAATGGGGGGGGGGTTGAACATTGAGGCATTGTATCAACATATCAAGCCTGATGATGCTGCTGTTGTTCAGGAGTTGCCTTTGAGTTTACGCAGAATCAATGATACCAGATTTGGGGGGGGGGGGGGAGGACTGCGGATGATGGTATTTACACCACAAAATCTGGGTACTTAGTGGGGAGATTGAGCCATGTTAGTGGCTGGCAGGCTCTGTTTGGTGGGGAAATTTCAGAGGTTTGGAAGTTGGTGTGGGGACTGAAAGGACCACCTAAGCTTTTTAATTTTTGGCGGAGAGCTTGTACTGGTTCACTTGCTACTTTTGGTAGACTTCACTGAAGTGATGGCTTGTGC